ATAATGCGATAATTTGTTGGGCGTGGGCTTAAATGTATATTATTTGGTCATAATGGCCGATATGAATGGTACTTTGAATGGTGTTCACAGCTAAAGGCGGATACTACCATACCATTCATTCACAAACTTAATATTAATATAGTTATCCTATTTATGATACAGCTATCATAATGGTATCTACAGTCAACTCTCTAAAACTCGCGCTGTCAATGACGTTATTTGCATGAACGTTGTCATATGTGTGTTGTTTAACGCCGCACTCAACAATATTCCAGCTATATGACTGCGGTGTGTAAATAATCGAGTCTGGATCAGACAATCCAGTGATTGACATCATGAGCACCGATCCACGCAATTGGGATGCGATGACATGCATCAACAATTCAACTATCCTGACCACCCGATCCCGTTAGTCGCCTCTAAAGAAAAGCATGGGTTGCTGAAGATCAATTTTAACCCGGATCTTCGCGGTGATAGATGCTCGATAGTTTTATGATAGTAACATTGTAAATATTTTGGATTTATTCCATGAGGAGGACGATGATTATTTGTAATTTCCGTTTCCGTTATAAAATGTTTGATAGGCATTTCTTACAAGTTGAAGGATGAAAAGGTAGACAAAATTTATGATAACAACTACTTGATTTACAAAATAAACCTATTTTTAGTAAAATAAAGAAGTTGTTATCCATAAATTTGGTCTACTTAGACATAATCAATCAGTTATATCATCATATCGCGGTCGCTATATGGCTGAAATAATGCAGATGCGACGTTAAATTTTAAATTTAAACTCACTCACTGTCATAATATCGCATCTCTGAAAATAACGAACGTAGTACAGGTTAGTAGTAATACTTATTACGAAAGAAAAAGTACACAAGAAACCTTTTTTCAAAACATCGTGTATACCTTTTGACTTTCAGATATAATGAGTTAATGTTTTATATTAATAAGCGTTTGCCAGGTTCGTGTCATACTTTTTAATTTCAAATACGTGACATTTGGAGCACGGTTGTCTTTCATTTGAATCAGTTTAGTGTCACATAATATAAGTCCAGCTTTCAGAAGCAACCCAAAGAAACACGTTCATCGTTTTGGACCTGCAGGGTTTGTCTTCTTCCAGAGCAGGACGGGGTCAATACCTGTAAACCCTGATCGGAAAGTAGGACGCGGTCTCATCTATTCCCTTAGCGTGCGAAGTGATTCATCAGCTGGGTTGCTCTGTGTTCAGTAATACGCCTTGTTACTGTGATGTCACGACGGTCTGCGTGTCGGTCAAGTCTGTTCGGGGCGTGACAGACACAGCTGCGATTGCCGTATCACTATATCCATATCAGTGTTCTGTATGTCACTACTAGGGGCTGCGTATCGTCCCGTAGGAAACATCTGCAACTGTGGGCTGAATGACTTATTGCACACTTTTACATATACGATTGGCTACAATTAGTAAATAAAACAATATTCAGAACACCAATCTCTTCCTTAATCACTTACCTTCAAATATGGTTACTTTCTTTTATCCAAAGTGAACTATCAATAAGGAATCATCAATCGTGTTAAAAAAACAAACTCTGTACGGATTTTGGAAAAAACAGGGTGGCGGCCCCCCGCCCGAGGCAAGGGAGTTAACTGACTGTAGAAGTCTAGATTCCACCCTTGCGGAACTAGGCTTGAATTCCGAGTCTATGTACAGTCCAATCAACATCGCGGAACGAACGGGACATTCGGTTCTTGAACAACATGGATTTCAACGTGCAGATTTCGATCGACTGCAGGATTGGCAAAGCATGTATACCGTCAACTGGGCGTCGACAGATGTTTTCCAAATCTTTTCAAGCTTTTAATCAAGGTGCTCAACTGATCTTATGCACTCTGCGAGGAAAGGCCCGTTTTATTACAATTTTGATCTTGATTATCTATCAGATCGTCTTCACTGTGCGCCGCCATTTTTAAGCAAATGAATGTGAAATGAGAGTTGGAATCTGATTGGTCAATAGGAGGGACATAGAAGGGACATAACTCGTAATAGCCACTGGTGGCGCTACGGTCGAGGCACGATATTCCAATTCCAACGAAATTGGGATCGATGACATGCACCAACCAAGTCAGCGAGCCTGATGACCACCCGATTCCGTTAGTCGCCTCTTACGACAAGCATAGTCGCCTTTTACGGCAAGCAAAGGTACTTAAAAGAAATTGGTCTGTATCATAAATTTTAAATATGTATGTGAATAACTAATTGCTTGTTTTTAAATTTGGTGTGATGCCTTTATTAACAGAGATTATTGAAGTTTCTGTCCGGGAGCATAAAGTACCGTAAAATTATTGCCCCCTGTGTGACACGTAATTCCTGTCATAATCGATGTAACTATCATCAACCAGTGTTTTAAGCCAACTCATTGCTGCGCATTTTATAATAGTGTCCAGTATTGTGCACAACCACCAGTGGCTAAAGTGATGACTTAAATCCTGCTGGGGTATGGTGCCGGAAGCTTAGGCACCGTAAGTCCCTATGATCCCCAGCGAGGTGGCCGAGCTTTGGTTACTTGTGGCTTGTAGCCCGTGTTTTAAACAGTTGTAAATATTATTGTTATGCCAACATATGTTTGACAAATTTGCTTTTAAACATAACTTCGTATTTATGACGCACTTGTATATATCATCTTGTTCTCGTCGCTATATGGCTAAAATAATGCCGATACCACGTTTAATTTTATCTCACGTACGTGAAAGAAATAAACACATTTATCCCTGATTAATTATAAAATGTATCATACACAGTGAAACTATATGGTTTAAATGCATCTAGGCCCTATATCATTGTGCCTATTTTTCTGCCGAACAATTTCTATAAAAAAATTAACAGTCTGAAACATAATTGTATATTTACTTGATTATTTACAGGCCGGAATATTGCAGCGTTATAACACACACGCGCGCGCACGCACCAACAAAACAACAAAGACAACTATGGTAAACTACCTTGAACGTCGCGGGGATGGGTAATATAGTTTCCTCCAGGGACTATGTCACGGCAGGCAGCGGCCGGGCTAGCAACAAAACAGATGCGCAGTTCATTATGAAAGTAAAACCGGTATATTGTGCTTAGTGAACTTACGTCGGATAAAAAGCTTTGCAAAAAAACCAGGACGTTTCCAGCGTGAGCAAACCTGTGGCCATCAATGGGGACACACCTCTGTATGTTGTGTTCTCAAGGCAAACGCGACTGTCATCATGTTATTATGCTATTGAGATTTGTGAACAGATAACTCACCATTCCTCTCTTTTACTTTGCAGATTTTAAAGCATAGGTGTTTTAAATGACAAAATTGGACCCGATAAATTTTCTTCAGAGCTATTCACGCAAGTTCAAACTTAGAATTTGTCCAGCATTTTTTTGTTCTTCACAAAAGTTACAGTGATATATCTCCATAAAGTGGTTATTATCCCCGCAGCGAAGTGGTGCGGGGGATATAGAAATAGAGTCCGTCCGTCTGTCCGCCCGCCCGCCCTTCCATTCGCCTGTCCGCTTCTCAGTGGGGACATAGATTATCAACATATATTTAAGTTATAGGAATAACATTTTACACACTGATGTTACTGGTCATGATCTTAAATAAGTTATAAAATTGGTGCCGTAAATTACTTTTTACAGAGTTATGGCCCATGCTCCGTGCTTTTCAACTTAGTGCATACTGCGTTAAATGGGGTTAAGGACTAATTTGCATGCTTATATAAGTGATACTTGTCAAGACTGAATATGAAAATTGGTGCCGTCACTTTTGTGTGTGCTGACAGCCCCTGCCACATGTTTTCACAAGCTCTTTCCCAGTGCGTGACACTTTCGTTTCACTCTCGGTAGAACGGGTTATTGCTGTAAGGAGCTTGATGTTTTTAGAGTTTGTTTTGTCACATTTACGGCCCTTGATCTATGTTTGTTTGTTTGTTGTTTAACGCCGCACTCAGCAATACTCCAGCTATATGACGGCGGTCTGTAAATAATCGAGTCTGGACAAGACAATCCAGTGATTTACATCATGAGCATCGGTCCACGCATTTGAGATACGATGACATGCATCAACCAAGTCAGCGAGCCTGACCGCCCGATCCAGTTAGTCGCCTCTTACGACAAGCAAAGTCGCCTTTTACTGCAAGCATGGGTTGCTGAAGACCTATTCTACCCCGAATCTTCACGGGTCCCTTGATCTATGTAACATATTTTTGTTTCGTGCATACATGTCTGCAGAGACCATATACCGGTAAATTGTACCCGCATGATATCTGCAATAGGGAAAGTAAAATCCCTTTTTTTCTCATGACATAAAGCCACCCCAGTGGTTATCTGTTCTTAAAGATATATACTGAGCAGGATTCGTTTTTTACAGTTAACATTAACTTCCACGTTATTCGATCACTACTATATAAATAAACCAAATCCTAACGTGCCCCATGGCGGGGGATAGTGATAACGCTGTTTTCTTGTATAAATTGCCTATTTGAAATGTACGAAGGGGGCGGGAATCAGAGGTGTGGTCCATCACGACAAAATTGATTCGTCTATAAAACCATTATTATTTTCTGTATCGTCACCACGGGAAGGGACACACAAAATTGGCCTCAATTGTAATTGGGGAATCGAACCCGTGCCTAACAGGTGAGTGAACGCTTATTGTAGGCTACCCCATCGCTCCCAAGATGCGATAATCCCGTTAGGGACACGGTTAGATGATCCCCGGAAATCTAGGCTAGAAATCGTGACTAAATGGGTCGGATGGTCAGGCTCGGCGATTTGGTTGTTACAATGTAATCATGTCCGCTGATCGTTGCTCACAATACCAACCATTGGTTTGCCTGGTCCATACTCGATTACACATGCCGGCATCATATATAGCAGGAGTGTGGCGCTAAATAAGAAACATTCGTTTAACTCGCGCTCTCCTCACCAACACAATTTCTCGTGGTAAACAATGAGAAGATCAAGAGTTATGTCCCTTGTATCAAAACGGAAGTTGTGAAAACACGTCAACACGTGTTTACATTCAGACAATTGTCTATATCCATATCGGAACTGTCATTAACCTGTCAACAAAATGGGGCGCGTGAGAAGGAAGAAGATGCACAAAGGGGATAAACCACTGAAAGAGAAATACAGAACAAAACGCAGGACGAAAGATTTCGACGAAATTCACGAGGACATGAAACCAGGCAATGCCGATGCATTATTAAACCAAGATCTGGACTACGACAAGCCCGGCGGTGCACAGCACTATTGTCTGCACTGCACGTAAGGAAACCTACTTAAATGTTTCATTTGATATGGATTTTCGGACGCTAAAGAAACATTCGTAGTTTTCTATCCAATCACAATCTTGAACAACTTAAAACATCGCGATACAAGTTCCTGCAGAAGCATATACGTATTACGTAGAATGCCTCTCATTATATTAAAAGTGTTATGGCTTGATAAATAATACAGCCTTACAGGGCTCGTTTTAAGGAACTTGATGAAACTAGCAGCAGATGCATGTTGACATGAAAATGTAATTGCACCTGACAAAACCAGGCTACGCTCTGGTCCCATAAATTTATCAAATTTGAAACATCGGTGCATAAATTAATCTAAATAAGTAAAATCTCAGATCTCTGAAGACTGTGTCATATGATTCATATAAGTATAGCTCAGAGGTCTCGAGTGTGTTCGAAGATCGGTGTTGTGTGGACAAGTAAGAGCTGAGTCAGACAAAATTTTGATTGCACTTGGTGCATGTAGACATAAATGTTAGATTGCAGTTTTCAATAATAGGTTGCACTGGTGCATGTTTTATTTAGCTAAATCGAACTTTGTAATATGTCAATCAAAGAATTTTGCTTCACTTTGTGTATTTTATCCTATTTTGGTCGTAGTCAACTCCCCTGATTGGAGTTCAACATTCAGTTTTTGATATTGACATAAAAGATTTTGATGATCAGTGCAGTGGCTTGCAGTCCTTTCACCTGACAGTCATCATTTCTTTGAGCCTGTTGTGTGTGCCAAGCATGCAATAAGAACAATCCCCCAAAACTGGTGTAGGTCTGCAACCATGACAACATATCCCTGTATTTTAGAAATGTTTTTTTGTTTGTTTGTTGTTTCACACCATACTCCGCAATATTCCAGCTATTTGACGTTGGTCTGTAAATAATCGAGTCTGGACCAGACAAGCCAGTAATTGACATCATGAGCATCGATCCACGTAGTTTGGATACGATGACATGCATCAACCAAGTCGGCGACCCTGACCACCCGATCCCGTTAGTCACCTCTTACGGCAAGCATAGTCACCTTTTACGGCAAGCATGGGTTGCTGAAGGCCTATTCTACCCCAAATCTTCACGTAATGAGTTGTCACAAGGTATAAACATGTCACAATAATAGTGATGTTATATGTCCATTGTGGCTTCAGAATATGTGCAGAATATTTTGCTTTGATTCATGAGTTATGCTCCAATCTGCAGTATCCTCATCTGGGCCCCTTTCACGAAACAACCTTAGCTGAGGTCAGACTTTACCATGCTTAGGTTACCTTAGTCTGAAGGAACAGTTTCACAAAGCAGCCAAATCTCAATCCTAACTTGTGTGTGCCAGGTATGGTGCTATGGTTGAGATAGTATGGCTATATGTCATCGTCTGCTGAAACCACTACTCGACATATACTGTTCATGACAATTTAGGATTTCATTGCCTATTTTGAACTGAATCTGTGTGGTGATTTTTAGACTAACATTTTCCTCAAGTGTAATTTCTAAACTTGAACTGTTACAAAACACATTGTAACAGACCTTAATTGCATGCCTACATGTATTTTGTATCCATGTATACCAGAGCTCCAGATAAGCTGCGTATCTGCATGAAATACGCATCAGAAATGCAGAAATACGCAGTAAAATATAATCAGAGCGTATCAAATACGCAACGAACATTACCATGATTACAGATACGCTACAAAAATAAAATTTGTGCGTATCATCAAATTATTGTGAAGTAACCCTGTGTATTGGATTAGCAAATCAGCAACTTATTTTGAAATTATAAACGGGCATTCCGTCAACCTTGCCAAACTCCACGATGACAGTTACATCCTGATCATTTGCCATCACAATTTCGTGTGGAAGTATCGTGGTATTTTTGAGTCCTATAAAGCTCTCGAACCCACACGACACCAGTTTGCAGGGACTAGATGAATAGTGTTTTTAAGTATTTAACTTAAATACCCACATGTGTAAAAACTAGTGGGTAACAGAAATTTGAATACGCAGATAGAATTACTGATACCCAATGATTTTAAAATGCATGGGTAAAATACCCACAACACCAAAAGCTTATCTGGAGCTCTGTATACACATGTTTAATAGATGTTGATAGTTAATCCTAGAAAAACATACACAATAAATTCTTGACATAAGCAGGATGTAAACAAATTAGAGTAGTTGCCCTTGAATTGTGTGATCAACTTCTAGATTTGTCAGAAACATTCCCATTCTTGTGGGTTTCACCAAAGTGGTAACTGTCTGAGACCTGCATCACATTAGGGTTTCCTCCCTCGTGAAGTGGACACACCGTGATATAGATGTAATACCATTAAGAGCTGTGTTAAACTCACTTCACCTTGTCATTCGTGATCGTGTTAGCGCTAAGGGTGTTTTGTGAGATGACACTCTGGTGAGGCTCAATTCTTGTTGTACTAGTGTGTGCTGATTGTGTGTAGACGCTGTCAACAAACAGTTGGCGCAGAGTTGATTGTTATCATTCTGCTGTGTTGCGGCTGCGGTGTAGCCTGTGCCATAAAACATCATTCATTCGGTCAACTCTTCCATCCTTCATTTTTACTTTTCCAGGAAATACTTCATCGGTGCAAGGGCGCTGTCCGACCATTTCAAAAGTAAACCCCACAAGCGAAGGTGTGTATGTTTCTAATTGTAGCAGTTCTAGTTAATTGTAAAAAAACAAAAATTTGTGAAGGAATTTGGTGTTGTGTGGATTGTTATTGTTGTGGGGCAAATATTTTTTCATCATGTTCATCATATTTTTTACAATTTCCTTTGAATATTTTCTTTATCTTTTTAGATATAAAAAGAAATATAATCATCAAAAGATAAAACCTCCTTTTCAAAAGCTAAAAAGCCTTAGTCTTGTAGAAAGCTTGTTGTTTTTCTGGTAGTATATTGATCCAGTTGTTCTGGCAAAATGCATTCATCAGAAACGGTACTATGACGCTTCTTTCAGAATTAAGGCTCTGCAGATGGAACCGTATTCCCAGGAGGAGGCAGAGAGAGCAGCTGGGATGGGGTCGTATATCGTGCCCAAGACTGTGGAGGTCAAAACTCAGGGCACCAAGGAGGTCATGGAAGCTGAGGAACCGGTGAAGGAAGGGACATAACTCTGTATGGCCTACTTCATGTCAAGGCTGTGATCACATTGTCCTGGCCAGCCCAGGTTTTCTTCCTCTGAGCTGATACAGCATCTTTGGTAGTCTATGAAACTTAATTCATATGTATTGGCCTTCAAGGCTAGAATTAAGTTAACTAGTTTAAACTCATTAATGTAACTGAAATGCACTATATTTTGTGTTGTGATAGATATTTGTGTTTCTGTTTTTGGATCAACTGAGCAGTTAAAACTTAACTATTAAAAATTCAATTAAATATTTTTTAAGTAAATATTTTATTTACACTTCTACCTGTTGTTGGATTGAAAAAAACAGAATGAAGCTGTTGGTTTTTCAAAATATATATCTGATCAAATGCACAGTCAACTCCTAACATCTACTAATAAAGATATCAAACCCTTCCCTGACAGAATGTTAATGTCAAACTTGACATTGCTCACAGACTGATATGGCTATTATTTTGTCATTATTGAAAGTATAATATGGCTAGTATATTGTCATAATTTATTGCTTATATGGCTTATTTATTGCTAAAAGCCCAACTATTTGGCTGGATTATTGCTAAAAGTGTGGAAAAGATATGGTTGGAAATCTTTAGGGATGAGTATTGGAGGTTTAAGGTGTATCACGATATTTTCCGTTGCACAAGGCCGTATTGTGATACGTATCATGATATATTACTTAATTCTACATTTTGAATTCAGAATCAATTTGATACATTAAGGTATGAACTGAAGTTCATAAATGGAACAAAACAAGATGCTGGTACAACATGATGTTTACTCAGTCAATAAATACGCAGCCATCTTGGGGCACAGGATGCATGTTAGGTATTTGGCAAGTGTAGAATATTAAACACATGATAAAAATTGATATTTGAAATCACCCAATATCGAGCATGAAAAAAAGATATTGTGGTTTGTATAACGGAAAGAACAAACCTCAATTTACCTATATACCAATAATACCACACACCTTAGTTTGAATATTTCTAAAAGCAGTCCAGTTGCTGACTGAAGTGAAGACCTGTTGTGCAATGTCCTGCACGGAACAAATTTAGGATTTATCGCCCCCCCCCCCCCCCCAAACTTTGTTATGACAATAACATTTATGGATGAATCATTGGTAATGGGGGACATTTATTTTATATTTGTTTGTTTATCTAACCAGGAAGTACAAATCTGAAAACCATAACGAATTAGACCTCACAAACTAGTGGTGGGACAATACACTATGACACTGATGCATCAGTGGACAGGGGGCGGTCGGGTAGCCTAGTGGTTAAAGCGTTCGCTCGTCACGCCGAAGACCCGGGTTCGATTCCCGACATGGGTACAATGTGTGAAGCCCATTTCTGGTGTCCCCCGCCGTGATATTGCTGGAATATTGCTAAAAGCGGCGTAAAACCATACTCACTCTCTCTTATCAGTGGACCACAATCTTTTACTTCTTGATACAAGTATCAATCACAGTTGCACACAAAGTAAAGAAATATCGATTATTGCCTTGAATGTTTGCTTCAATAACTGTTATTCAAAACACTTTAGTAGTGAAAATTAATGGTGAAAACTTAAATATTTTCATCCATTGCGCCATACTCGACACTGCCAACTGTAAATCATCAGTGTGCCAGGTATTAGACCATACTGTTACGAAATAGATGGCTTCCACACCACAGATAAGAGCAGATACAAGTATCGTGATACGTTTTTGATTGTGAGCAAGGTATCATGATATTGATCAGATTGCTCCGTTGGTGTATCGTCCCAGCCCTATTACAAACGTCCCTTTCATCCTACAAGATGGTACACCATGTTTATCCCTGTTTACTATAATCAAGTGTCCGTGTTAATGTCGACATACTTCACCTGCTTGTCATGAACACCAGAGACAAATCAGACCTATATGTTGCATGGTGTCGGATAGTGTAATGTTGACAGTTGGTGTGGTGATAGCTGATAGTACTGTAGTGTTGCAGGCATAGCTCTGTGTCTGTGGTTTTTTTTGCCAAGTTATGAAATACTACATGAAGCTATTTTCTTAAACTGTAATTGATTATTTTTATTGTGTTATTAAGTACAGTATTTACCTGATACACGAATTGCCCTGTTAATCCCTAATCCACAATGAGTTGACATTGAGTTCATCTAACATGATCGGGAGGTCAGGCTTGCACACTTGGTTGATGCATGTCATCGTATCCCAACTGGGTGGATCGATGCTCATGATATCAATCACTGGATTGTCTGGTCCACACTTGATTGTTTACAGACCACCATCATACAGCTGGAATATTGTTGAGTGTGGCGTTAAACAATAAACAAACGAACAAACATCTCGCTTATGAGCTGTTGTTAACGTAACGAGAATGAATAGATGATTTAAAAATGGCTCTTATTCATAGTTGGTTAAGTAGAAAACCTGTCAAGTTGAGATTTTCCCAGGTCCCTTCATTTTCTACTTATCAGGTTTTCACTGTATTGAGATATACCGTATTCGACGTAATAAGCGCCCTGCTCTAATATGCGCACTTGCTGATATTTGCTAATATATTGGCTGGTGAACAATCCCAATTAGCACCCCTTCGGATTGATCAATGTACACAATACATATGATACACACTCGTGTGTTATATGCACCCTTAATTATGGGCAATTAAATTCTGGAAAAATATATTTGTCGCATATAAACATTTCAGGCTGTCAGCATAAACCATGAAATTTACAATCTTTCAACTCTGTTTTCTTCACCCAAATAATATTCCAATAAGAGCCCCTTATTTCTAATTTTGAGAGCGCCCTGGGCGCTTATTACGTAGAATACAGTATTGGAAACGGTTTAGTAGTCATGGATACAGTGTGAGAGACAAAATCACCTCTGTCAATCAATTTTGAAGGGAACCATTTGTGAATGGATTTCTGTGTAGATTTTAGGTTTAACAATACAAATGTTAACAAAATTGTTTGTATATTTTTTACCCGCTATACTGGAACCTAGTAAGCATTTAGCAATTTTATCGTTTGAAACGCTTATTGTAGTATACCGGTAAAATCGTGCAGTCCTACTGTAGCTGAAGGCTGATGTTTAGGCTCCATTTCCCTTTACATGTACTTCATAGAATCAGATCAGGCAGTAACAGCAAATTTGATCAATTATGTTATTGTCTTTTTTGGTAAAATCAACTTTTATTTTGTATGCTGGTATCTCTTTAGCAGTCATGTCTCAGTTTGTCACACATCACTAATAACATTGGACGGCTATTCGTAGTGCTATGTCAGTTGAATCAAGAAAGAGACAACCAAATGTATATTCTGGGCTATACTGACCTTTCATTAATCATCCATCAGTATCTCCGAATGGCGAACAAATTTAAAGTCAGTAGACCTTTGGTTCTTCATTTAAAAGGTCCATAATAAACTTTTGCCCCAAATCATGCTGGTTTCAGATGTTTACCACTTTGGCGAAAATCATGAGCATGGGTATATTGCTGAAAAAATCCAGAAACAAAATGAGGCTGAATGTTTAAAATATCGAGACCTAGTCCCAAAATGGACACCAGATCATGGAGGATAGTCCCCCTTTAACTGCCCACCCTAAACTGAAGGCAAATGAATCAGTCAGGTCCAAGGGACCTATGTCTGCAGTGTTACATTGAATGAGGTAGAGTCTGGCTGTCTTTTCTTTGTTGTTTTTGTTTATTGTTGTTAAAGATACCAAAACAACAAACACAACACCAATCAGTGTTTGTAAGCAAGGTACAACAGTGTTTTGGATGTAATGTTTTTGTATGAAATAAATTTTGAAAATGTGTTTGTGTCTGAATTGTGAATATTGTGCCATATTTCATACATGTCCTTTGCTCTTATCCTTTAAATATTCCCAAGGGAAAGAGCAAGGTGACAGCCAAGGCATGCACATTGAATTCTTACAAAATCAGAAATAAGATGGCTGTTATCATCGGATAAGATTTATACTGACCTCTGTATAAGGTTGAGGTTCTTGGAGGTCTCCTGTAATATGAGGCAAGCCTCAGGATAATAAACCAGTGAAGAAAACTGCTTATCAAAGTGATGGAGTTCATAGATGGATGGTGCACCCCTTCTGAGTCTGCATATTTTCGTTTGTTTGTTGTTTAACGCCGCACTCAGCAATATTCCAGCTATATGACGGCGGTCTGTAAATAATCAAGTCTGGTCCAGACAATCCAGTGATTTACATCATGAGCATCGATCCACGCAGTTGGGATACGATGACATGCATCAACCAAGTCAGCGAGCCTGACTACAAGATCCCGTAAGTCGCCTCTTACGACAAGCATAGTTGCCTTTTACGGCAAGCATGGGTTGCTGAAGACATTATACAGCTGATTGTATCTCAATTAATGTGTGGATATAGTATTTAAGCACAGGAACTCGATGATCGGGTGCATAGCATAATATATATTCGTATAGAAAAAAAATCACACCACTATATATATACGAACATATTATGGTATACACACGGCCATCTAGTTCCAGTGCCACAACCACCTACAGGCTTCTACCCCAACCAGCATCCCCTTGACCCTGGCTCTCAAGCCCTGAACGTCGGTACTTAAATTACATAGGATTTGAAGCTCTGCTAGGCTGTTCATTTACGTGGATTAAGACGCAACGTGGACTTTTGAATATTCATCTTCCTTTATGCGAATATATTCCTTCTAAAAATGGTTTTGGCAGAGAAACAAAAACATCACAAATGACCTTGTAGGAGTCGGTGGTGGGTTATTTCTGGTCAAAGGGAGGTAATCATGTTTGTACAAGAGTTACCCTGCCTTAAAACTCCACAAACTCCTTCCCAGCGCGTGACACCTTCGTTACATTTTAAATAAAGAAAAGTATGAACATTACTACATCTGGGGTTGGAGGGCAAATTTCAAGATTCTTGTAATGGCCGCGCCCACACCGAGAGTGTCACGAAGGTGTCGCGCGCTGGGAAGTAGCTTGGTGTGCCCTCAATGTAAGGGAGCTAGTCACCTCCAACAAACCGAGAGTTATTTCCCTTGCCCCGAAGGGAGGTAAGTCTGTTTAACAAATGGTAAACAGGATGTTGTTACTTCCCTTTGATCACATACAGCACCGGTACTCAAATCCAATTAGTTTGTAGATATCGGAATATGCCAGGTGAACCCGAATGAAACTGAAACGTTGGAAAAAGTGTTGCGGAGGAAGATTTTGTTTTAATGTTTCAGATGCTGACATTTAAAATAAAAAGGTTAAGAAAATATTAAGGAGGTCAAAGAGAAGAAAGTTCTTTTCAGCCCATGTAGCAAGGACATTTATCCAAAGCAATTTTTGGCAGAAAAAAGCTTTTGGTAAAAACTCTGAAAAGAATGACGTTCACCTTAGGATAGGTTGTTGAAACCATATTCCCAGGTTTACATGATTTAATTTTGTTGTGCCTCTGTTGTCTACTTTGTTCGTGTACACATAGAAATAATTATATTTCCCGATCAGTTCCGCAACGTCAGTAAATCAAGGGTGTAGAACTATCTCAGTGTTGAACGAGGATCAATCGAAATCAGATAGCGAGAACTCTACACCCCACACGCAAGTCAGCCACTGGAGGGAGTGTATACAACAATTGGTGTCTCATACAGTCCCCGCTGTCAGACAAGAGATTGCCCCCACGTGCCCGAAAACAGCTGACACCGCTCTGTTCGTCAAGAAACAAGCGACACCCATTCCAGCTCCATACAGCGATTGACATTGTGAAGGTGTTTGGTGGGGTGGGGTGAGTATCGCTGGGTGCGGGGTAAAAGACTGTCCATGGATGACTGACTGTTAACTGGCAGTTAATCTGCTACCTATGTACACCTGTAACACTGACGGTGTGGAGGTTATATCGCTTGGCCTGCCTGTCAGCTGTAAGTGATATGTTCGCTGTGACATCCGCCACGCAGTATATAAATTATATTGAAGCTTGTCTCTGGGCCGCGATCAGGGACACAGGGCGAACTCTATTTACTGTGTAAGACTTGCGAATTGACACACACGTCAAATTGATACAAGGGGACAAGATCCCTTTGGGCCGAGCCACAAAGCGATTAAAAGGACCGATCATTTGTAACATTTGGATTTTGTAGGGAGACCAGGTATTTTTCTTTCCGCTACACTTTTTCTAATTAAAGGAACCTAAATATATTTTTATATAAAAAAATAACCTCGCAAGAATGTATTTTATGTGGCTGGCCAGATCGTCTTTTTACAATTGTCTGACGCGTAATTAGTTTTTCAAGCAATTGCGGGGACAATTTATTTTCTGCAATAAAATCCGGCGATCAGGCCGAAGAAAGTACACAGTGGATTATCGAAGATGAGGTCTTGACGGGGATCGTCAAAGCTTAGAAATTAGATGGTGTATTGTAAATGTTTCTTCCCGTGAAGATCCGGGGTAGAATAGCTCTTCAGCAACCCATGCTTGCCGTAAAAGGCGACTATGCTTGTCGTAAAAGGCGACTAACGGGATCGGGTGGTCAGGCTCGCTGACTTGGTTGATGCATGTCATCGATCCCAATTGCGTGGATCGATGCTCATGATGTCAATCACTGAATTGTCTGGTCCAGACTCGATTACTTTACAGACCGCCGTCATATAGCTGGAATATTGCTGAGTGCGGCGTTAAACAACAAACAAACAAACAAACAAACAAACAAAATCTTCCCGTCTGTAAACTTGAAGATAATGAAATGTCGGATCTAATTACGAGTTTGTTCTAATGTTTATTCGAACTAGAGTCATCAATGTTCTGCCTTCACCACGGCCATGATAATATACATTATATAATATTGACTTATATGAAGTCAATACCTGTTTATGTGAACCCGAAGAAAGCAGTAATAACCGAGTCTATACTTTTTTTCATTTCTTACATGAGATATCAACATCTTGTGCAGGCTCTTTGACTAAGTTGATAGAATGTACAAGATTCAAAAATATTTAAACGTGCTTAAATAATGATAGCAACGCGATAAATCGCAAAGAACAATGAAGAACGAAGCATGGTTTATTTCACGATAAAATATTGCTCTAGGATGACGTCATTTTTGGAGATTTGAAAAAATGCGCTCACAACTTGATGACGCCTTAAATTGGACGACGTTATTTTTTAGAGGGAAATGTCGAGTGAGTTAGATGTAGTTTGGCAACGCAGATGAACGCAATGACCGAACGATCGCACCCAAAAGTGGGACAGATATGGCAATCGGTATTGGGAGAAAAGGTGCATATAATTGACGTGAAAACTGTGAGAATACCCCCTGAGCATAAAATGGACTTGTCCGACATTGCCGAGGTCGGATTGTTTTCAGGGAGTCATTTAAATGCGGGCGAATCTTTAAAAAGCTTGTCCCATTTATTGAGATCCTTATAAAGACTAGAAAATGTTGATATTTCAAATAAGATATAAACGACTCGTGGTCGTTGTTTATCGTACAATAAAACAGCTTATTCCTCATGGTTTATTCTCCCTGCAGTGTGTTATCGTATGAAAAACAACGACCAATGAGTGTGGAGTAAATCTTTGCGTTCTTCAATCACAATGGATGATGGTATGAGCAACGGGTCCAACCGTCGGCGTACACTGACACACAGGTAGCCCCGTCACATAACCGACTGATTCTCTGGAATCGGCCATTCCATCACGGGGTGAAAGGATGGACCCACTCTGTTCCGGACCCAACCGAGAACGGTCATGGAAATGTATGGAGAGGCTAAAGTCACAGTGAGTGAGTGAATGCTGTTTTAGGTCACAATCAGTAATATTCCCGTTACATCAAGGCAACTATAACATCAGTTAAGCCGTGGCTCGTTTGGCTTTGACCGTGCATTTACTAACTGATTTGATAGTTAAACCCTCACTGGGCGGTGTTTCTCCCCCCCCCCCCCCCCCCCCCCCCCAACACACACACCCTTTTATTTACCTTGGTGAACAAATTCACGGAAAACGTGTGTCGCCAGCGGGATTCAAACCCGCGAAGTCCGTAACGGAGGCTTAAGCGCTAACACGTCTCGTACTAACGATTAGATACCAGGTACTCGTGCTCTGACCTAAACATATGTGGATTGGGGGTGGTTTTACGCCGCCTCTAGCAATATTCCGGCAATACCACATCTTGGGACACCAGGATTGGGCTTCACACATTGTACCGATATGGGTAATCGAGTCCGGGTCTTTGTGGTGACCAGGGAACGCTTTAACCACTAGGCCACCCCCCTCTAAACAAAGAATAAACATAAAGCTAACAAGCTTCAAGTGGTTTATTCTCATCATTGTACACAGATAGAAAGAAATCATCAATACTTTTGTTTCTTTAAAGATCTTGTCTCGGAGGAATGTAAAGATCAGTATGGCAACGCCGAAACTAGATATAGCCACTAAACACAACGTCAGCATAACTAACACACAACGACATTATGTTTATATCAATCAGTTGATGATCAAGCGCACAATGCAGGATTCTGCTAACAAGAAATACTTGCGTGTTTAGATTAAAATGTATGTCGAATAGTGTTACCAAAACCATCCCGGATTACCAAGAGTGTTGTATATCCATTCTATTATGGTAAATATCCCGGACCAACACTACTACAGCTTTGCTTTAAGCCCGAATCATATGCCACAACGCCAATACTTCCCGTCCAACCAACCGACAGTCATGAGCGAGATGAATTCTGTGTTAAGTTAGTGATTAAATAGATGACGAGGGCGACGTCAATTCCGAAACAAAGCTTTTTTTGGTCCAGGGTATATAATATAATGGAATGGAAATATAGTACCCTGGATAATCGAGGATGCTACAAGAACGGTATAAGAACCTCTTACTGAGTGATTTTGCTGAGTTGACTGGCCGGCGGCCCTGGCGAATCGGAATCACTAACAGGACCAAACTCAGATACCATCCCCTTAACCGGCTTCAGATGTTTTGCACTTTTGTGACTCATATAACTAGGTCCACTCAAACCGGATCCGGTTTCCCACATTGTCTTTGATCTCGCTCCTAGACTAATACGAGCAGTTGAAAAGTAGGAATCAATCCTGTTCTGGTATTCACTGTCAAGACTTGATGTGTCCCGGATGAGAGGGGCCAAGGGGTCCAACTTGGGTTGGATGTAATGTTCCAGTTGAATTGGACCATTGATTGGACGGGTCTCCACAAGCCTGGTTCTGCTGTTAGGGACCGCTCTGGGCATCCCTTTGATATAAGCTATCCTCACTTTTGGGAGCGATGCCTTTTGAAATTCGTTTCTTGGATGCTTGATTATTTTTCTGGCAGGAAATGATTTGTAGCCTCTCTGTAGGTTTGCTTTACCTTTTCTGACTTCCTTCCGAGGGGTTTTGATGTCGTCTTTGTCAGTCAGATCTTCAATCGTTCTCTCTTTCCTCGCCATGAAGTTTGTCATGTATGTTGACACTTCCGGTTCTTGGGCTCCTTCCTGAAGAACCACCTTCTCTGCCATCTCACTGGACAGGTCGTTGATTTCCTGTTCGCGACATCTGGCAGCGATGTCTGCGAGAATCTGCTGTTGTTTACCTAAACGCCTTTTCTCAAAACTAGTGGACAAATCCATTACAGCGGCCTTGTCCGGAGTGGCGAGTCTCTGGTGTCTGTCCCGCACGTGCTGGGTCATCTGAAGCAGGGTCAAACTCCTGTTCATTGATCTTTCCCTCACGAATGAAGGCGTGGAACAGTATCCCTCGAAATAATGCTGCGACTGGAACATGGTTGAAGTTTATATGACTACTTGAGCCTTTCAATAATGGCTATATGCTTTTGAGAGTCCAAACTCTGGTCATTCACTTCTTCTCCATTCAATGCCAACGAGAGGCTCGAAGCAGCAATCTCCAATACACTCCTATAATGTCCCACTGAAGTCGTTGTTGCCTAACACAACAAGCAAATAAAAGGATTTCAGAAATAATATTATTTCATCAAGGTATTCCTGAAGCCCGGGGTTCACACGTTCGTGTTTAACGGAGCATAAGGGATACAATAGAAAGCTTTCTAAAGCGAAAATGAAGGTTTCGTAGTCGTGTTTGTCTGTTACTATGTAAGCAAGACCTCTTGTTATCCTCAGCTGTAATCAGCCTAGAACTATACCTCGTGTTATCCTCTGAACCGTGACTGATGAAAGGAGAACCGTAACACAACCCTCTCGTGTGTGTTCTAGCTGAAGTGATATCGGCAGTCTTCATCGGACTCTAAACAGTAATCTCTCATCAGCCGATCTTCTGGGGGGTCTTGGGAGAATGTTCGAGTAAAAACTTTCACTTGGTGCTTGGTGTGCTCGGATAGAATAACCAACATGTGAGGTCTTTATAAAGTGTTTTTTTTCTTGAATGACACTTAAAATTATATTTGTAACATGAAATGAACTCTCACCATGTGTTCTTGATTAGAGTGGACATACGAACACAATACATAAGATAGCGGATACTGTCTCTTCCAATTCACAGATTGTAAATACATACAGTTTTGTTCAGATATCTCTCATGCCATTTTGTTGGAGAAATCCACAAGTCTCAAGTCTCAAAGCACAATGTCGATCACCACATGAAGGTACTCAGTTCCACCAAACCATCATATAAAATCACCGTTTAACGTCTTTGAAAGATAAACCAGGCATAGGTAATCTCCATAGCAACAACGAGGCACCCTTTTCTTCCTTCCTTGATAGAAGAATCAAGCAGAAGTCAATCCACGTGTGTTAAACGGATCATTATCCTATACTTGCATTCCCAGCACTGATTCTCTCACACACGTATGTCAACGACTGGTCATAGACGTGGACTTCGAGAGTCATTTGCTCAATACCACACCGATGTTTACAATACCTCCACATAGGGAGCAGTCTATAATACGACTATTAAGAAGGTAAGCTCATGTTAACCAGCCCCGAGTTTACCTGTGTGACACGGCTAGTCAGAGTGGCCACGCATGTCATTCAGGGTTTAAGTCGACCTGCGTAATGCAAGGGTGTTTATCCCCTCCGTATGTATTAGTGTTAAGAATCAAGTTTGAAGTCGGTACTTATTAATGTTGTTATGCAATTACAGGAGGGTAATTTGGTAATATTGGGTAATAACGCCTCCTCACTTGATGTTAATCTCTTCTTGAGTGACTTATTAGGCCAATTATCGATATTTTATAGATTCTTATATTTGCTGTGCTATCACAACTTATAGTTTTGCGTACATGCGTACATTGTACGGCATGTTCTTATTAGGTATGTAATTTTTATCCGACCGGTGTTTTATCAATCTTATATTGTGTGGACAATGAAACGGTTTGATTTTTAACAGTTTTTTTACAAGAAGCGCAGATAAGGAATGTTATATAAATTTACAGCAGTCTTATTTACAGTCACTTAGATACTGACGTAACGCTAGTGTCAATCCGCTTGGCTGTTGTCAATAAAATATGTACACAAATATAAGGGAGATAACTGCTGTACGAAACGGTGTATCCAAGCAAGGGGATAAACGATTGTATGGTTGATTACCTGTCTGAATGCGGCTAGAATACTGAGGGTAAAATATACAGTGTAGGTATCTACCCACAATTGATTGGGTACACCACACGACCCACCCTGAACAAGTACTTCTTTTATCATTTAACGTACAGGCGACTAAGCACGCCCTACACACTTATCACAAGTTTAGTTGCACCATAGTTGCCAGTGTTCCTCAAACGTTTTAATACTGTGTTCATTTATATATAGTTTAAATCAATGTATATAGTTGTCACATTAGGATACTCTGAGCAACAGTTCGAACAAGGGCTTATGGAAGACTGTTTACAATGATTTAATGTATCGACTTGTCATGGCTTAACGTCAACATGAAGGTACAATGTTATTGATGATTTACATGTTAATACATGAATCAATGTTAATCTCTGTACACCTTCCCTGCTTCGCCAAACATTTGGAAAAGAAATTGTGACTGGGGAAATGGTTGTTTTTTTAGCTCAGCTCAATTAACATATACTGTTACTTGCCAATTAAAATTAAAATACGACGAATCTGAAAACATAATAGATGAATACCGATTATGAGGTGAAATATGTTTTGTCGTATTCAGATGCTTTCCCTCATGTGTCATAATATTTGCATATTGTTTGTTTGTAGTTCAACGCATATTCAGCAATATTCCAGCCAAATAATTTTGTATGGACGACATCGTGAGCCTCGATCTACGCAACAGATCCCTTTAGTCGCCTATTATCACAAGCATCGGTTGCTGAAAATATAACCCTGGTCTTCACGGGTGTGACGTACAAAATTGATCAGGCAATGGTTGTCATTGTACCCCTGGGGGAGAGAGGGGAGGGCGCGGTGCTCATAATATCTGTCACATATTTCTTTTGTCCAAATTTGATTTTTTACAGATTGAAATGATATGTCTGGAATATTGTGGCGTTCAACTAAAACAGACAAACGTCTAAATCACGGAATCCTGTATTTGAGAAGTCAGGTGCACAAGGGGCGGCGGGGTAGTCTAGTGGTTAAAGCGTTCGCTCGTCAATCCGAAGACCCGGTTTCGATTCCCCACATGGGTACAATGCATGAAACCCATTCCTGGTGTCTCCTGTCGTGATAATGCTGGAATATTGCTAAAAACGACGTACAACTATACTCACACACACTCAGGTGTACAACCCACGACAACAACACGTTTATTTAAGTCTCTTCGTTGTGGCGAGACAAGCTAAGCTGTCGGGCAAAAGTGTGAGTGAGTTGGGTTTAACGCCGCTTTTAACATTATTCCAGTTATATCACGGCGTGTCAGCTTGATGTGGGAGGAAAGCCCGAAGTGATGCAGGTCTCAGACGTTTACCACTTTGGTGAAACCCACGATGGTGCTGACAAACCTAGAAACATAATTGGGGTGAACCGGGATTCGAACCCACAATCATAGGTTTCTGGTGTGTTCAGGGGACGCAACTCTGCACAGCGAATCACGGCGCCTTAGGCGACGAGGCCACCCGGGCTCCCTCTGGCAAAAGAAAGCATACACTTGAAAATTAGATTTGACCAAAAACTTACAAACAATTAAAACATTACCAGGTTGTAAACAGTCGCCGAAACACTGCAAACCTAAGGTCAAAACACAACTATGATACCCGTATCAAATACATCACCAACGAATAACCATTTATTGTTTGTTTCATGTTTAGCTAGCCACCATCAAACATGGGGGTATACTTTCTTTTGCGCGGTTTCATTCAATCAAACAAAAAAAATTCATTTTGTCTCTTAAACAAATGCTTTTTGGGGTGGACATCATTTGAAGTGAAGGAATTTCATCGTCAAACCCATTTTCGCGTCAGGATTAATATGATAAATCGCTCCAAATCTACCATAAATCAAATGTGTAAAACAGCCTTGAAACAACTTTTTGTCTTTCGATGTTTGCGAAAAGCCTTTTATGATTTCTATAAAATTAATTCGAATTTCCTTTTTTAGATTCAGTGAATATGAAACAAAGAGTCATTATCCTGTTCAGAGAAGCGCAATATATCATGTGGAATTATAAAAATGATTGATGTGTGTAGTCTCTAATATGCTTTTGTTTGTCTGTGTGATTGTCTCACTGTATGACACCGCACTCAGTCCAGCTTTATTACGACGATCAGTAAACAATCGAGCCTGGACCTGACAATTCAGTGACTGACATCATGAGCATCGATCTACGCAATTGAGTCTCTCTGTCTGTACTAGTCCGGACTGATGCCGATTAAATAGTGCAAGTACACAGAGATACAATACCGAAGTTTTTCATGAATACCTCACTCAGGCACAGCATACTGATTCATTGTTTAACCTCCTTAGTGCCGAGCGCCAGGCAGGGTAACAACAAGTACCATCTTTTAACGTCTTTTGGTATGACGCGTCCGGGGATGAAACCACCGAGCTTCCGGTCTCTGGGCTAACGCTCTACATCAACTAAACCCCCGTGGCGGTGGGGTCCTGTAAGTGGTGACTAACGGGATCGGGTGGTCAGGCTCGCTGACTTGGTTGATGCACGCCATCGCATCCCATTTGCATGGATCGATACTCATGATATCAATCAATGGATTGCCTGGTCCATACTCGAATATTTACAGACCGCTGTGATATAGCTGGGAAATTGCCGAGTGCGGTGTTAAACAACAAACAAACAAACAAAAGATTTATGACCAATATAAAAATATGGAAGGGCGTTGATTAACCTTCTTGAAGGTTTATGTTTGGCACAGAGCCCTCAGCTGGGATATTTTGTACCCAGAAGGAACGTTACTTTTTCACATGGCCTGTTGGCATGAAGGTTGACAAAGTTTGCTCAAAGGAGAAATGGCAGTCTGGTATCTGAGAAACGATAGTTAAAAATAAATTTTGAGAGATTTATTTGCGCTGTGACTGACTTAAGAGTAATGACGGTGTTTTTTATCCACTGTTTTGTCACATTGGAGGACGCCGTCCCTAGATTCAGTGCACATTGCTGCACTGGGTGTGAACGTGTTGGCCTCTTCATTGTTCTGAGTCTTAGGGCGGGCAATGTGTTGACATGCACCTTTCAAGGGGTTTACTTGCTTTGAAAATAAGTTTGTGTCTCGATTGTTTTATAGCTTATTCATATTTGTTTCCTTTTCGTATGTTTCCTTTTGGTATTTGTTTACTATTCGTATTTGTTTCCTTTTCGTATTTGTTTCCTTTTCTTATGTTTTACCTATTCGTATTTGTTTCCTATTTGTATTTGTTTCCTTTTAGTACTTGTTTCCTATTTGTATCTGTTTTCTATTCGTATTCGTTTCTAATCGTATTATCATATAATAAAAACATCATAAGACGATTTGATAAATTAATATGTCTTTCGTTTGATCACAATATTTCTTAAATTCATTACTTGAACGTGTAAATAAAGCCTCCAAAGTAGTTGATCTGTACTGAGGCCACTTGTCCCTGTACAATACATACATTTGAAACAGTGCAGTACAGTGAAAACGCTAATGTTAGGTACAATTTGACAGATTTACAGGCTTTTCATAATTACATCTTCTTTCATACCTGTAATACTGGTATTTACATAGTTGTAGAAGTAATTGTTTAAATGGGGACGACAGCAGCATTGTAAATCTATACATATTTGGATTATGGCAAAAAGTTGTTGGTAAGTACACTTGTCTAATATCATTGTAATATCAATATTCTAATATTAAATATATTAATTCTCTTCTCTTGTTTCACATACAGGACAGCAATATCAGCCCCTCTTCCTTCGTTTACCTTAGTTGCCCGGCTATAAATATGATAAGCCTTCTCATACCTTAAGATGTTCTATTTCTGCAATAAGAGTAACGAATTTTCTGGTTCCAGGATTATTTTAATTTTTTATGTTGACTACGTAACATCGATTTTAAGTCAACTATGAACCACCAGGTGTGAGTGAGTATGGTTTTACGCCGCTTTTAGCAATATTCCAGCAACATCACGAAGGAAGACACCATAAATGGGTTCACACATTGTACCCATGTGGGGGAATCGAACCCGGGTCTTCGGCGTGACGAACGAACGCTTTAACCACTAGGATACAGGGATGTGAAATCTCCGCGGAAACGCGGAAAATCGCGTTTTTTAAAACAGTAGTCCTCGGAAAAAATCATCTTCCGCGGAAAAAATTATTAAAAATTTAAAAAAAAAACACTCCGAAAAATATGATCGAAAACCGGACAATTGGCGCGGATTGTCCTGTTTTCGATCGGAGCTTTCACAGCATAGGTTTTCGGACATCATACGTTTTCTGTCACGAATACTTGCACTATAACGTGGGGCATGGCGTCACACAGAAATTGTAAATACTCAGAGTCAGCTGATGGCTTGTTTTTAAGATAAAGTTGTCTTTTAGCCTGTAAGTGAATGAGATGTTTTACAGTTGTTCATGTGATAAGCGAGAAATTTATGAATGTTTCTTCAGCGTCCAAAACCCCATGTCATGGGGATATATATTGTATTAATGTCTTATGTTTGCAATGGAGTTTTGTTTTTTTCGTGAAAAGGTAAGTACAAGGTAAGTTTTTTTCAATATGCTTCAACATGGGGAAAGGGTCAGACATTGCACACTTGTGACAGTTGTCCTTGTGTCTGGGGGATGGGGGTTGAAGTTTATGGCAGTATTGCTCCCAGACCTGGCGGGTAGCCAGGTGCGCGAAAGCTATGCCCGATTTTTTTTAAAGTACTGATTTAACTTCGAAATTTTACTGACCTGCCATCTTGTTTATTTTACTTATTGACTTTTGCCATTGACTTATTACATTTTTTGGTGTGAATGTTGTCCAAACTGCATGAAATTGCTTAAAATGCAATCAAATGTTTTAAAAATTTCTGGGGGGGCATGCCCCCAGACCCCCCTAGACTTTTCCTCTTTTTTTCGGCAAAACCTGCTCACATCCCTGAGGATACTCTACCGCCCCGAACCACAAAGAACCAAATGCCCGACATAAACTTTAGACTAACCCTTTGTCAATGAAAATATGTCTTTAAACTAATAAAAATATTAACCTTTCCTCTTCTGCTGTTTTCATATCAAGCAAACTAGACTTGGCTAGTTTTATCTAGACTTGCCTAGGCTTTTAGTTAAAAAAAATACCTAAAAAACATAAATTCCACAGTCATGGTGCAGGACTACATAAACTCTGTCAGGAGCTAATGGTTGCTGTCCGGGCTTTATCTTCCACTCACCGCCGGGGTCTGACTATGTCAAGGCGACATGTCACTGCAGGCTCACAGCGCAATAAGAAGGCAACAGACTCAACACGACTTAGGTGTTTACACGTCTCTTGGTATTGGTGGTATGCTTCAGTAGCCTTGTTCTACGTAAGGACCTTCTATACTACAACTACATGTGCCAACTTTATTGCCTGACCCCGCACAGCAGGTCGGACCAAGCGAAGGGTGTGCTTTCTCTATATAGTTCTCTAGTTCTCTACTGCTAGTTATATTTACTGTCCCGTTGTACTGCTAATTACATTTACCACATATACCGGTCTGTGGTACTGCTGGCTATACTTTCCGTTCAGTTGAAGTTGTACCACAGAAATTTGAAGTTCTGAGTTAAATAATGAAATTATCTTTCTTTTACTCTATCTCTCCTTATCTCTCTCTTTCTCTATAACTTCTCTTTCCCTATCTCTCTTTATCTCTCTCTTTCTCTATCTCTCCCTATATATCTCTCTCTATCTCTGTCTCTCACTCTCTCTCCTAATCTCTCTCTTTCTCTATCCCTATCTCTCTCTTTCTCTCTATCCCCATCTCTCTCTCATTCTCTATCACTCTCTCTTTCCCTATCTCTTTCTCTATCCCTATCTCTCTCATTCTCTATCACTCTCTCTTTCCCTATCTCTCTTTCTCTATCCCTATCTCTCTCTTTCTCTATCTCTCTCTCTTTCTCTCTGTGTCTCTCTCCCTATCTCTCTCTCTTTCTCTCTGTGTCTCTCCCTATCTCTCTCTTTCTCTCTGTGTCTCTCCCTATCTCTCTCTTTCTCTCTATCCCCATCTCTCTCTTTCTCTCTATCCCCATCTCTCTCTCATTCTCTATCACTCTCTCTTTCCCTATCTCTTTCTCTATCCCTATCTCTCTCATTCTCTATCACTCTCTCTTTCCCTATCTCTTTCTCTATCCCTATCTCTCTCATTCTCTATCTCTCTCTCTTTCTCTCTGTGTCTCTCTCCCTATCTCTCTCTCTTTCTCTCTGTGTCTCTCCCTATCTCTCTCTTTCTCTCTGTGTCTCTCCCTATCTCTCTCTTTCTCTCTATCCCCATCTCTCTCTTTCTCTCTATCCCCATCTCTCTCTCATTCTCTATCACTCTCTCTTTCCCTATCTCTTTCTCTATCCCCATCTCTCTCTCATTCTCTATCACTCTCTCTTTCCCTATCTCTTTCTCTATCCCTATCTCTCTCATTCTCTATCACTCTCTCTTTCCCTATCTCTTTCTCTATCCCTATCTCTCTCATTCTCTATCACTCTCTCTTTCCCTATCTCTCTTTCTCTATCCCTATCTCTCTCTTTCTCTATCTCTCTCCCTATCTCTCTCTCTTTCTCTCTGTGTCTCTCTCCCTATCTCTCTCTCTTTCTCTCTGTGTCTCTCCCTATCTCTCTCCATCTCTGCTTCTCTGTCTCTATTATTCGTTTTTCTATCTTTTATTCATACATATAATTTTAAAACATTAAAACATATTTTATTCATAAATGACAACTTTTAACAACATAACTCAGACCCGGATAATTGTAAACACTCTTCAGAATAATCTGTGTTTCATTCAATCAAGCAGCATGGTGTTAACGAGCTTGGGTCATCTAATCTATACGCGTGGCAGGTGTTCCGTCTTCTCCATACCAAAGCACTGATTTGTACACGTCAACACAAAGTGTTCGGGTTCCAGACAGGTCACTCAATTTTCTGTCCAGTCTGCTTCATATACTCATCGTAGTCTACTTCTACGAGTCCCATGGCGTCTTTTTCTTCTTGCGTCCACTCCTTTGGGTCCTTCCAATAAAACTCGGTACCTTCAGGGCAGAACTTGGGATCTTCCTGTTGTTGTTCCATCGTAAGGAAAGGGTTAAAGTCGCCAACTTTGTAGCAGGAATCCCCCGTCAACCAGTACAGCATAGGGTGTTCCCCCTCCTCTTCGAATCCCCCCTCGCCCCCTGGCGGATCTTTGTGGCAGTGGTCACCGGAACAGTCAGCGCTCAGTGTATCAAGGGAGGTAACACTCGTTATGAGGGCTGAAAAGTAATGGAATGCTGAGTATTATAGTGCGTGGGAATGAGGAATGACTTGGTGTATATGTGCATCATGGGTTGAGGGTTATCACATATGCATCAGGGGTTGAGGGTTATCACATATGCATCATGGGTTGGGGGTTATCACATAGGCATCGTAGATTCAGGTTATCACATATGTATCAGGGTTGAGGGTATCACATATGCATCATGGGTTGGGGGTTATCACATATGCATCAGGGGTTGAGGGTTATCACATATGCATCATGGGTTGGGGGTTATCACATAGGCATCGTAGATTCAGGTTATCACATATGTATCAGGGTTGACGGTATCACATATGCATCAAGAGTTGAGGTTATCACATATGCATCAGGGGTTGAGGGTTATCATATATGAATCGTGAGTTGAGGTTATCACATATGTATCAGGGTCAAGGTTATCACATATGTATTGGGTCGAGGTCATCGCATATATATCAGGGCTTGAGGGTTATCATAAATGTATCAGGGGTTGAGGGTTATCATAAATGTATCAGGGGTTGAGGTTTTCACATATGTATCGGGTTGAGGTTATCACATATGTATCGGGGCTTGAGGGTAATCACATATTTATCAGTACTTGAGGGGTCATCACAGGTATCAGGGGTTGAGGTTATCACATATGTATCAGGGGTTAAGGTTATCACATATGTATCGGGGCTTGAGGGTTATCACATATTTATCAGGGCTTGAGGGTTATCATAAATGTATCAGGGGTTGAGGTTTTCACATATGTATCGGGTTGAGGTTATCACATATGTGTCATGGATTGAGGTTATCACATATGTATCAGAAGTTGAGGGTTATCACATTTGTATCAGTGCTTGAGGGTTATCACATATGTATCATCACATATGTATCAGGGGTTGAGGTTATCACATATGCATCGGGGGTTGAGGGTTATCACATATGTATCAGTGCTTGAGGGTTATCACATGTATCAGGGGTTGAGATTATCACATATGTTTCAGGGATTGAGGTTATCACATATGTATGGTGTTTTGAGGTTATCACATATGTATCAGGGGTTGAGGTTATCACACATGTATCAGGGGTTGAGGTTATCTCATATGTATCAGGGGTTGAGGTTATCACACATGTATCAGGGGTTGAGGTTATCACACATGTATCAGGGGTTGAGGTTATCACATATGTATCAGTGCTTGAGGGTTACCACATGGGCATCATGAATTGTGTGTAATCACATAATTATGCCTTATGGATTGGGGGTTATCACATGCATCATGAGTTAAGGGTTACCATATCTGCATACCCGTGAAGATCCGGGTTAGAATAGGTCTTCACCAACCCATGCTTGCCGTAAAAGGCGACTGTGCTTGTCATAAGAGGCGACTATCGGGATCTGGTGGTCAGACTCGCTGACTTGGTTGATGTATGTCATCGTATCCCAAGTTCGTGGATCGATGCTCATGATGTCAATAACCGGATTGTCTGGTCCAGACTCGATTATTTACAGACCGTCGTCATATAGCTGGCATATTGCTGAGTACGGCTTTAAACAACAAACAAACAAACAAACTAACAAACTGCGTCAGGTGAGGTGAGGTGAGGTGAGGTGAAATGGAGTTTAAGGTTTCGTTCAAAATTAATGCACCTTTTTCGCGCGTGTGTGTGGCTGCTTGTACTAATACGGGCTAATGTCGATTTTATAGTGCTATCACACTGAGATACCATGCCGCGGTTAAACATGAATACCCCACTCAGACACAGTACACTGACTCCGAGACGACCAGTCCTTGTTTAGACCCTTAAAGTGCAAGTATCATGAAAAATAATTCTAGATTTTTCTTACGTCATTTTGTAGCCAGTATGATGTACACTACAATGGCCGAGAAAAACAGCGTGAAAATGTAAACTTAGCGCTGCACTTTATTAAATGTACGTTTTTTTAGGTCTATTTTTGTGACTAATCTTACCAGCGCTAACGAGGAGGCGTGGCTTAATTACCACGACCGGCTATGCCTGCAAGCTGATTGGGTATTTCTACCAGCCGGGTACATAATATACGCGATTGTTTCATTGTTTGTGGAGAGACCTGTGTTGTACAGATAATACCGGTATTGATTCTATGTATGTCAGGAGTATGGCAAGTAACCTTGATTTAACGTGAATTGTATAATTTTAACATTGGAAGATATTTTTCTTTTCAATTTTAAGGGCGCGGGTTTACTTTCATTTGTTTCGTTTGTTTGTTGTTTAAAGCCGCACTCAGCAATACTCCGGGTATATGACGGCGGTCTGTAAATAATCGAATATTGACCAGACAATCCAGTGATTGACATCATGAGCATCGATTCACGCAATTGGTATACGATGACATGCATCAACCAAGTCAGCGAGCCTGACCACCCGATCCCGTTAGTCGCCTCTTACGACAAGCATAGTTGCCATTTACGGCAAGCATGGGTTGCTGAAGACCCGGAATTTCACGGGTCAGTTTACCATCAATGTATGCATTGCCGAATTTCATACATGCCAAAAAGACTGCACTCAAATATGTGCTATGATTATAAGCAATATGTGTTACGATACCAGGGAATTTAGATATTGCTGGAATCATAGATTCTGTTGTGGAGTTAATAGCTGAAGGTAAGGCGTACGTTCTGTCAATCAGTGAGTGAGTGAGTGAGTTTGGTTTTACGCCGCTTTTAGCAATATTCCAGCAATATCACGGCGGGGGACACCAGAAATGGGCTTCACACATTGTACCCATGTCGGGAATCGAACCCGGGTCTTCGGCGTGACGAGCGAACGCTTTAACCACTAGGCTACCCGACCGCCCCTCTGTCAATCAAATAACGGTGTCAATAATATCTGAGTATGATTCAGTCACGGCCAATTACGACCTCATGTATTTGATAATAAACCGAGGAACAAAAGAAACTATACCTCTCATTTGATTTGATCGTATGTTTGATGTTCTATTCAACATATAAGTCAGCGATATTATATCCAAACAAAATATACGGGTGTTTAGTCAGCACTCCCAGAATGCTTCTACAGGTTTACATTTTACATTATAACTTGATTTAAACCTTTCAAAAATTAAACAACAAACATTCACATGATACATAACTGCGGATGGGTATCTTAGACATCGTATCTTTGAAAATCAAGACGGCACAAATTTACAATTTTTCAAACTTGGTAGGGATCATATGATTGCAAATTCATTTTTTACCCCAGTCTTCATTGAACCAGTATATTTTTATACAAAATTACCCAACCACAGAATTACGTCTTACAACCAGTTGCAGGAATGATTTGTTTGTTTGTTTGTTGTTTAACGCCGCACTCAGCAATATTACAGCTATATGACGGCGGTCTGTAAATAATCAAGTTTTGACCAGACAATCCAGTGATTGACATCATGAGCATCGATCCATGCAATCGGGATACGATGACATTCATCAACCAAATCAGCGAGCCTGACCACCCGATCCCGTGAGTCGCCTCTTACGACAAGCTTAGTCGCATTTTACGGCGTGGATGGGTTGCTGAAGACTGAATGAGTGATGGTTAGATAGACATAATCAAATTTAACACCAATTCTTTCAATTTTCAATATCATTAAAAACAACTCGGTATACTTTCTTTTGCCCCAAAGATTATGACCAGCGATTGTTCTCTTCCATAACATAATCACCTCTTTTTAAACACAATACTCACCTATTCCGACAATAAGCAATGTGGACATCTTCGAGATCCGAGTGCTTGCCATGCTTAATCAAACAGTCGAAATTAATTTCGTCATGTGAAGTTTAACAGTTAAAATACTGTTGACTGCTGGGTAGGTCCACGTGTCGCGACAGTGTTGAGACAAGTTTTGGGGTACACGTCAGCGTGGGATACCTCATGTGGCAAACCTCATGCGGTGGACCTCTTCATCTTGATGATTTATAACTTCAGCCGTGCGATTGTGTCGTCATCGTAAACAAGGTCGTAAAAAGTGACCCAGTGTTAAATGAGAAAGTAAAATTTCTGTTTTTATGGTATTTCGGTTTAAATGAAATTTGAGAAGGCGATACATTTAACAGAAACTGTTGAAGTTTGAAGACTGTCATCATCTTGTAATGAAGCAGACTCTTTGTACATCAGTATCAAAGTCGGATCAGTATTAAATCCTTCTCAGTTGTCATGAGGGTGGTGAGTAGGTCGATGGGTCGGGGGTTAAGAGGTGAGGTGAAATGGGGTGAAACGTCGCGTCCAAGATTATTGCACTTATATAGCGGCGTGCATGCACGTATGTGTGTGTGTGTGTGTGTGTGTGTGTGTGTGTGTGTGTGTGCTTGTCCTAGTCCGGACTGATGCCGATTTATAATGCTAGCACACTGAGCTACCATGCCGCAGTTTAACATGAATACCCCACTCAGACACAGTATACTGACTCCGAGCCGACCAGTCCTTGTTTTAGACCCTTAATGCCAAACGCCAGACAGGGTAACAACAAGTACCATCTTTTAACGTCTTTTGGAATGAGGCGGCCGGGATCGAACCCCGGACCTTCCGCTCTCCGGGCGGACGCACTACCACTAGATCACGGAGGCGGTCTGGAGGTTTAGGCAGTACATGGGGCGTTTGTAGATGTACTGACATCATAAAAAAATATCCCAGGGTTTATTATCACACATTCAAGCACGATTCCATAAATAGCCCTGACATGGCTAGCCTACGTTGTTAGGTGTTACCAGAACTTACATACCTTTTTATTTTGTGTGTTTGTCTCATGATCCATACACTTCTATCTAGTATATAATTATGTATCGTGTTGTGTTTTTGGGTTTGTTTGTGTTTAAAAAGAACACTGTGTCCAGGGCTACTAAGTATAAACGATCTACAATCTAAATCGATAGTTACTTTTGTGATGGATTTGTACCATTTCACAAATTGCTGCGTTAATTCCTATACTTTGTTGCAAGTGAAAAAAGAGTTCTGACGCTCAAGGTTATTTTTTGCAGTACACGAACTGTCATCACGTCTGCCACATGAATTTGTTGTAATAATTCTGTGAATTGGCTTTTATTGATAGTTAAAAACTGTTTAGTGTTCTCATTGTTATGAGAAAAATTAGATCACATCTTTCCGAAGATTATTATCGACATAAAATTGCAATTTTATGAAGGTTCCATCAAATGATAAATAGTATATATCATGTTATGTCCTTAAGAAATGCGATACGTGAAGATCCGGGGTGGAATAGTTCTTTGGCAACCCATGCTTGTCGTAAGAGGCGACAAACGGTATCAGGTGGTAAAGCCTGGTTGATGCGTGTCATCGTAATCCAATTGCGTGGATCGACGCTCATGCTATCAATCACTGGGTTGTCTGGATATGGATACAATGTGTTGTGAAAAATACATTGTTCGGTTCCACATTTTAGAAGGAAATATATATATATATCTTGATACAGAGATAGACAAAATATTCTCTCTTTAACTAACGCCCCGTGATCGACCCCTCAAATACCCTAACAGCAAAGACACCCTTTTCGCGAACTCCCGGTGTTATCAGTAAAATTTAGTGATCCTAAAACCTAAATGTTTCATCACTATTTTGCTTTAACGTCAGTTTTGTTTCTTTGTTGTTTAACGCCGCACTTAGCAATATTCCAGCTATATGGTCTGTAAGTAATCAGACAATCAAGTGATTGATATCATGAACATCGACCCACGCAATTGGAACACGATGACATGCATCAACCAAGTCAGCGAGCCTTTTACAGCAAATATGGGTTGCTGATGACCTATTCTAACCCCTTCAAGGGGCTTAACGTCAGCAAATGCCCCTGTTCACGTCAAGACATACTCCCACTGACGTTAGGTTTGGATGACAGAAAGCTTTTGGATGAATATTCAAAAAACTAAAAATAGAGTAAAAACGGTAATATACCCATTAGATCCCCATTATCATTACCTGTCGATGAGGATTGGTTGGTAACAATGTGTGCCTTGGCTGATTGTGTGTCATTGTACAGTGCTTTAAAAGCTGGCTCTGCTGGTCAAAACCAGTTGAGTTGAGTTGAGTTGAGGTGAGGTGAGAGGCGAAATGGAGTTTAACTTCGCGTTCAAGATTGTTGCACTTATATAACGACATGCATGCACGTGTTTGTGTGGCTGCTTGTGCTAGTCCGGACTAATGCCGATTATATAGTGCCCACCGAGATACCATGCCGCAGTTTTAACATGAATACCCCACTCAGAATCCGAGCCGACCAGTCCTTGTTTTAGTCCGAGCCGAGCACCAGAAAGGGCAACAGCAAGTGGCATCTTTTAACGTCTTTGGGTATGGCGCGGCCGGGGATCGAACCGCCGACATTCCGCTCTTCGGCGGACGCTCTACCACGAGATCAACGAGCCGGCCCATTGAGAGATGAAAAAACATAGGTAATATAAGTAGAAGACGGGAGAAAAAATATGAGTGTCAGCTCTAGAAAGTGACAAGAGCAATATGTGTAAAACCAACAACTTAGTGTGTCGTCTGCTCGGCTGACTTTCCCGTGACCATGTCTTCAAAACAAGGTAAATATGTATTGCATTCACTTGCGAAAATATACGTTCCAACTTGACGTTATGGTATATGATAAAAAAGGTTATTATATGTCAGTTTTCAAATCATATGCCATGTCAACCCTCGGGGTGATATGCCGTATAATAACCCCTTATTATGTCCCCTCATACTCAGGAGAACCCGTGAAGATTCCGGGGTAGAATAGGTCTTCAGCAACCCATGCTTCCCGTAAAAGGTGACTCTGCTTGTCGTAAAAGACGACTAACGGAATCGGGTGGTCAGGCTCGTTGACCTGGTTGGTGCATGTCATTGATCCAAATTGCGTGGATCGATGCTCATGATATTAATCACTGGATTGTCTGGTCCAGACTCGATTATTTACAGACCGCCGTCATATAGCTGGAATATTGCTGAGTGCGGCGTTAAACAACAAACCAACCAACCAATCATACTCAGGAGACCACCCAATGCTTAAAACACAATGATACCCATGGATCCCATACATCGGAGAGACGCGGCACTTTGAGTGAGTACGGTTTTACGCCGCTTTTAGCAATATTCCAGCAATATCACGGCGGGGGACATCAGAAATGGGCTTCACACATTGTTCCCATGTCGGGAATCGAACCCGGGTCTTCGGCGTGACGAGCATACGCTTTAACCACTAGGCTACTCGACCGCCCCCCCCGGCACTTTGAGCACTGGGATGATACAAATGATGTAAATAAGCGTACAGTGAAACACCCTTAATCCGCCTTTCGTGCAGTGACGTCTAGATATCTTCACAAAGGACACTACCATATAGCAATGAATCGATAACCCGAACAGTTTGTGAATGGTACGATTTGAAACGGTGTTTCACCGTGTATGTTTCAAATGTTATAAATATATCTGTGCTGCATGCGGCTCCAATGATTTTATTTTAAATGTTTGTTTGTTTGACGCTGTACTCCAATCCTCCATCAGTATGACGGCGGCTTGTAAATAATCGAGCTTAGAGGAGACAATACAGTGAGTGATATTGTGAGCAGCGACCAAGTCATCAACCAAGTCACCAATTCTGAACACCCGAACCATTAATTCGCCTCTTGTGACCAGCGTAAACTACTGGAGGACCTCATCTAACCTAGCATCCCCCCAGTCTTGACTGTGGTTATATTGTATAACTACATTGTATTGCGAGAAGACACAACATATCAAACATTGGTTATTGATCACTTGTTTTATTTCAGTGCTGCTTTTTCCAGTTTTAGGCAACTAAAGCAGGGTAGGATATCCCTTCTTCACCTCAATGTTGTTGAGAGGAAACAGCTCGGCTTTCGTGTGTTTCGTAACCTTGATGGCATGACTGGGGATGAGAACTGCCTCTGGTTTGTTGACCTTGATTTTTGACAGCGGAATCAGAGCAGCTTCCGGTTTGTTGACCTTGATGTTTGACAACGGTACCAGTTGAGCCCTAGGACCAACAGGGATGTTTGACAGAGGCGTCAATTCAGCTCTGGGACCAACAGGGATGTTTGACAGCGGAATCAGGGCAGCTTCGGGTTTGTTGACCTTGATGTTTGACTGCGGAAACAGCTGAGCCCTGGGACCAACAGGGATGTTTGACAGCGGAAACAGCTCAGCCCTAGGACCAACAGGGATGTTTGTCAGTGGAAACAGCTCAGCCCTAGGACCAACAGGGATGTCTGACAGCGGAATCAGGGCCGGTTCAGGTTTGTTGATTTTGATGTTTGACAGAGGAAACAGTTGAGCCCTCGGACCAACAGGAATATAGGACATGGGGAACAGTTGAGCCATCTGATTCTTGACCTCAATGTTTGACAGCGGGAACAAAGCAGCTTCTGGTTTGTTGACCTTGATGTATGACAGCGGAACCAGTTGAGCCCTAGGACCAACAGGGATGTTTGACAGCGGAACCAGTTGAGCCCTAGGTGCACCCACCTTGATGTAACTCAGTGGGAAGAGCTGAGCCGTCTCTCTCGGGTGCATTGGGATAGGGATGTAAGACCTTGGAATCAGCCTAGCCCTGATGTAAGGGGATCCTGGACACAGAAACAGAAGACAATCATATAGACAGGTTTATGACAGTGTATCAATGTATAAACAATTCATAGATCATCATTCAAATGTCTACCTCATTCATTCAATGGAGAATACGTTTGTGTCTTGTTTTACGCCGCTTTAGGCAATATTCCAGCTCTTAAAACCGAGACATGGGCGATGATGCAGACTTACCCATCGCCCCGAGTATAAGGAGAGCCTTTATGTGTGAGACATTACACTACAAAACACTTTGACTACAGTCCTGTACGGCGTTAACCCTAGCAACACCAGCAGTATCTGCAATATTATGTTTAACAGATCCATATGTACATCGTTGTGCTACCAGAGCCACAAAATCATTTCCATAACCATAAGAAATCCCTGCTGAAAGCAGAGTCGATTGTACGATTCCTGTTATACCACAAATATATTCTGCTCCACCGACCGGTGGCAACCCACACAAACACATGCAAAGGCAAGTCAATTGTTCACCAAGCAAACACGGTAACATATGGTATAAGACAAAATAGAGAATTGCATTGCACATAATTTTCGTCACTGGAGCGTCAAATTTGGAAATGTTATCCGCATAACAAATCAATATTATATGCATGTACATTATGTTCTTTCAAACACATAGTTCATGACTTAGCTACGGAAGCGTTTTAGAGCCATTTATTTTTGGTGTTTTTTGTTGCAATTTAAAGATACTAATTTGAAATTTCAAGATGTTATGTTACAATTTCAAGATACTAAGTTGAAATTTCAAGATAATGAAATCTCAACTTATGTATCTTGAAATTTCAACATAGCATCTTGAGAATTACGTTGAAATTTCATTTCTTTCTAACTTGAAATTTCAAAATGTTTCGTTGAAATTTCAAGATATATGAAGTGAAGCATAACAGTTAGGATCTTGAAATTTCAAGAAAAAATAAAAAACAGCCCCAAAAGATTTCCGTACTTACCCCCGGCAAGGGCGATTACAAGAGCTGCGACGACGAGCAACATCATGTTTGTCTCTGGTGAGTGACGACGACTGTACGACAAGACTCTCTTCCCTTTATAGGCTGTCTGGGACACGTCATCTGCGCAGATGGAGATTGTACAAGCATCAAGTACCATCGTCACATTGGGGCCATAAATCACATTCTCTTCCAACTGTAAACATCGTTGCGTTTCTAACTAAATTGTACACGTAACTCCGTTTTTAGTTGTCAGAGGTTCATAAAAGTCTTTCATATTCGTCCTTCAAATCACATTAAATTCAAAAGTTTGCTAAAATCGATTAAATATTTCCCATTTTGAATGCTCCGGAAGTCGTCTGCTGTCAATTCGTACAACGTCTTTACCTCCACGTCATGAGAGAGTGTACAGGTGTTCACTTCAGCCTCGCTCAAGTTTAATGTAGCTAATGTTCAGAGTGGTTTTGAGGGCCTTCAGTGTCATAAGGCTTAATAGGGCGAAACCGCATGATCAATGATTCATATCCGGGAAGGGAGGTCACTCTAATTTCAATCGGGAGCTATCTCCGTTGTTTTCGTATTTACGAAAATGGCGTCAGTCACGTTGTACGTTCGTGTTGGTCCAACTACTAATTGGCCATCTTATCCCTAAGGTAACCCGTACTTGTAATTAAATGTTTGAATACATTAGATCTATGTATTATCATTCCATCCTTAACTTGCAGAAACGGTGATTGCCAATGAAATCAATAACTGGTGAATATTAGTTTTCCCCAAATGTGGGCCTACTTTATTTTCTGAATAGAAATGGCTGCAGGCGGACCCGCATTTCATAAAGTCCATAGTTGTTATATGTTGAGTGTAATATGTACATCTTCTAAGGTTGGTTTAGTGCTCCTAAGCATTTTCTAAAATATGGGCCCACTTTTCCCATACCATATATGGTGATCCAAACAAGTGGGCCCATATTTGAATAAGCATACTGCAAAGCTTCATTAGGTAGGCTTAGTTAGCACCATTTTCTGAAAGATCGGCCCACTTCTCCCGTCACATATAGACCAAGTGATAGAAACAGGTGGGCCTACATTTGTAAGTCGCTAGGCTTCATTGTTGTTTTTGTATATGCAGCAAAATATATACTCAACAACAAAAGTTCCTGTGACACAAATATTTTAGTGTATTTTTCAAACAAGTAAAGTTTGGTTTTCAATATTGTAGAACATGTATGGAATCAAGTCACAAAAACGCAACTGCTACAGAAAAGCATGCATCCATGTAAAAGTTGACTTTTATGCAAGCCCCATGCATTTCAATACCCAAGAATGGGTATAAAAACATGCGCGTTAACGGGATTCCATATGCATTGTTTCGCATCGTGCTGACAACAACCACTCAGAAAAACGACAGAATTACGCAATTACGAATAGCCACGCCTGTCCGAAAATGAGCGTCTGCGAGCCATTGGTATGCTTGAAGCAGGATCGAGTCAACGTGATGTTGCAAGACAATTAAACGTCTACAGAAACACCATTTGGTGTTTATGGCAACGTTGGCAACAGACGAATGCAGTCAGAGACCATGCTCGGAGTGGCAGGCCACGCGTAACCAATAATCGACAAGACAACTGGATTCGAACAACACACCTACGAAATCGATTCCAGCCAGCAACAGTGACTGCAAGAAGCATCCCTGGCCTTCGATGAATATCTTCACAAACCGTACGTCGCCGCCTCAGATGTGTAGGGATTGTCACCAGAAGACCCGCCAAAGGTCCCATTTTGACAGGAAACCACCGTCAAGCACGCATAAGTGGTGCAGACAGCGTCTACACTGGACGGGCATGCAGTGGGGACAAGTTCTATTCACTGACGAGTCTCGTTTTCATCTCAGCCACAGCGATGGAGGGATTCGAGTGAACCGACGTCGAGGTGAACGTTACGTCAATCATTGTGTCACAGAAGAAGATCGGTTCGGGGGCGGCAGCGTTATGGCATGGGGATGATTACAGCAAGACAGAGGACCCGTTTGATAGTGGTAGAGAGAAATCTCAATGGACATCGCTACTGCGACGAGATCATCGACCCTGTTGTTCTACCGTTTTTGCGTCGTCATGGCCCAGGCATTACCTTTTAACATGACAACGCCCGGCCTCATATTGCTCGACTTGTTCAGGATTCTCTTCAACAAAACAACGTGAATGTCATCCCCTGGCCGGCTCGCTCCCCTGATCTCTCACCAATCGAGCACATGTGGATCGAGATGGATCGGCGCCAACTACGTGTTCCACAGACACTCCAGGAACTTCGAAACATGCTCCAGCAGATATGGACAGATATCCCACAGGACTTTGTGCGACGCCTGGTCCATTCCATGAGACGCAGATGTGTTGCTTGCTTTTTTTTATGAAATCACGCATTTTCTGTATGTCAGTCAAGTCAGTATGGCAAATTAAACCATTTGAACACTTACAGGAGTCTTTTATCTGTTGCAAACCGAAATTGTTTCAGATTTGATAAAAACATTACTTTGCATTAAATCTTATTCAATGTCATAGGAACTTTTGTTGTTCAGTATAGTATTCTCATTTTGTTATATTGATTGGAAATGTCTTTATAAATTATATACATGTAGTGTGACCTTACCTCCACAATAGGTACACAGAGTCTATGAAATTTGAGTAACATCATCACTCTCGTTCCATAACAGACTTTTTCGCAAGAAACTTACTTCAAACTAAATTACGAGAGGCAATAACACTGAATCTGGATTTTATTCCAATATAACGCAGCAATTTAATAATAAATGTCGGTTGCGATATGAACCTGAAAATTATGTCTACACTTGAATATAGAACTCGGATATGATACAACCCCCTGAAACTTTTCCGGGAAATTGTTCCATTAAAAGGAATGAATATTAATGACTCCACGACCCAGTTTTGCGATGTTCGTAGAAGTGAGTTTCTACGCATGTGTACATTCTGATCTAATTAAAGTCACGCTACCTATCTAAACAGACAAATTAGTAGTTTGTAATAAGGGTTTCTTTAACATCGTACATATTCTCTACAACAAGTGCGTTTCGAATGTGGGCCCTCCTCGAACTTTCCATTAGGCAAGTAAAGGTAGCTCCCTTCTCAAACCACCTATAATAGGTGAGGTGAGGTGAGGTGAGGTGAGGTGAGGTGAGGTGAGGTGAAATGGGAGATAACGTCGCGTCCAAGATTATTGCACTTATATAGCGACATACATGCACGTGTATGTGTGTGTGTGTGGCTGCTTGTACTAGTCCGGACTGATGCCGATTTATAGTGCTAGCTCACTGAGATACCATGCCGCAGTTTAACATGAATACCCCACTCAGACACCGTATACTGACTCCGAGCCGACCAGTCCTTGTTTTAGCCCCTTAATGTCGAGCGCCAGACAGGGTAACAACAAGTACCATCTTTAAATGTCTTTTGGTATGCCGCGGTCGGGGATCGAACCCCGGACCTTCCGCTCTCCGGGCGGACGCACTACCATTAGACCACGGAGGCGGTCCCACCAATAATAAACTGCCAGGCAAAATAAAGTTTGATGGTGGCTAAAACTGAAACAAATAGCAAATGGTTAGTCGATGGTGATATATTTGAGACGTGGATCATAGTTGCGTTTTGTACCTAAAGTTTGCAGTATTTCTTCTGGCCAGCAGATTAGATCGAATAAACATGTTGCTGTGTGTTCTCTGCGCTGACGTCATCGTGAAAGAGACACGGTTAATCTAACACCAGGGCCCACTTGCACAAAGCGATCTTAGCGCTAAGATGAACGTAACTCCCATACTTTAACACAGGCTTACAATAGTCGTAGCGCTAAGATCGCTTTGTGCAAGTGGGCCCTAACTAGACACCAACCTCCAGTTGATCGTTTTCAATGACTGGTTTGTCTGATCCAGACTCGATAATTTACAGGGGGGCACCAGAATGGACTTTTTGGTACCCATGTTGGGAACCGAGCCTGGACAATCGGGTTAACGAGCGAACGCATGGACCACGTGGCTACCCTAGCGGCTCGTTATAATTTTAATACAGTTTTAGTCAGTGGGCTATATTCACGGTGCGCCAAAACACCCCATGAACAAAAAGCGAAACCAACAAGGGGAATCGAACCTGGACCTTAAGCTTGACGAACGACCACATTACCCACAACGCTATACAAGCGTCACGTTTTGATCGGAATACAGCTCAGTTCAGTTGTATATTTTCACGGGGCGTCATTTAACAGCATGCCGAAGTAGCAAACGCTTTAACCTCACAAGAGCGTATACCGCTAGATACATCACAACATTAGGATTAAAAGATATATAAATAATACCTAGCAAATCGTCTCACTCACCTTTGTCAGCACGTGAACAAGTGCGTACAATCGCCCTAAAATCCATCACTTTAGTTGTATAATCGGTGACAGTTAAAACAATAAATGTCATTTGTGCGTGTCGCCTCGAACATGTTCAACATCCAATATGCTTGGTTTATGCACCCACAAGTAAGAATAAATGATTGCCACGTCAAGATCGTTATGGGGGTATTACTTTAGCTGCTTTGTGAATAGCTGGAAGGTGCGCGAGGACATAGGTAGATTTAGTGATGTATCGGTAAAATGTGTTTTATTGTCGCTATCTATTTGATTTGTGTCGTTCAGGCATTTGTGACACTATACAGTTTACTGACCGATTTGGTAGGCCATTGGTATTACTGTGGGGCTTCTGGTTATAGCTGATAGGAACTCCATGTGCGATACAATTGTAGTTTCTTTGTAGAAGTTAGTCGGGAAGCTATTAACAGTTACCCAGTTAAATCATCCAGTGTTATACTCATCATGTTATTTTCAGTGTGCACCTTCCTTCATGACATATGAATGATCGATCAGACATATGGGAAGACAAACAGGTCATATGGGAAGTCAACCGACCATTTCTGACATCAACCGGCTATATCAGAAGTCAACCCACCAAACTGGTAGTCAACCGGCCATATTGGTAGTCAACCGGCCATATTGGTAGTCAACCGGCCATATCAGACGTCAACCGGCCATATTAGAAGTCAACCGGACATATTGGTAGTCAACCGGACATATTGGAAG